ACGCACACTTGTAAACTCAAAATCTAAGGGAACAGTTGGTTATATTTGAAGCCCTATTTAAAAGCCTTCCCAGTTTTCAATGTTCTTGAAACTTACAGGGTATATTTATTGACAATTGATCTTGGGATTGTATAGTTTATAAGAAAATTTATCGAGCGGTTTTCTGAATAATGCGAAATTTGTAGGCATGTACCAAATTGCATGCAAAGACAGTAACAAAAGCTGCTGAATGCAGGTTAATAAAATTCTTCTTACTCGCGATCGCCCAGAGCAATTGTCTTTTTGTGTATGCAGTTTTCAATGGAATCAAACTACTATGAGATGAAGCCGCTTTTCCAAAGCTTATCATTTTCTTAAAATATTAGCTAATTGTGTAGATAGTATGCTATTTCACTTTTTTATGATTCTTAAAACTTCGTTTCAAAATATTTCCAAAACGCTCCCATAGAATTTGTTCAAACTTTGCAATAATTGAGGCAATTATGGCAGGTACATACTCCCTTAAGCGATTTCTTAAAAAAAACTCCTGGTACAGAGAAACACAAAGATAAATAAAAAACGTAATGGCGTCATTACGTTGCCATGGCGACTCCGATTGTAATAAAACCCAGATCATAAAAAAATTTTCATCTTTATATAATACAGTAGGGGAAACCTTTTTCCCATATCTTTACTCATGCCGACGTACTTAATGCTCAAACTTGGGAGGTATCCCCCCTAAAAAGTCCAATCGAGCGACCTTAAGTGCAACGCTTGGACACTACTATACCGAATATTACCGCTGAGTCACTGCCCTTTTGGCTGATAAAATTGGTGAAAGAACAAAGTTTGATTTTGTGCAATAGTAAATTTACCTCGTGTGTTATTTTGAAAGAACATTAAATATTCACCCACCATTTGTTGTGTCAGTTGTTGTGCTGATAATTAATATTGATAAGTATAAGTCACGTGCAGTGACTTTATATCTGATAAAACACCGCACACTAAAAAGGGGAGATTTTATCGATATAAAGTCACTGCAAGTGATGTATGATCGACTATTTGATAGGTCAATGGGCTTATGAATTATTAATTCGTTTTTGAAGGATCACGCAACGCCCTCTGGGTTAGTGGGTTAATAAGTGATAGTGTTCATTTTTCGACAGAGAAAACTACCCATTTTATGAACTAGGGCGTGCCTTGAGGCAGCCCAGTTAATAAAAGCTAGAGGGGGTTGGGTCAATTGCTGGATGAGTTTTTTTACTTCTACGTACAGCTGTGTATTATCCCCTGAAAAGAGATGCGTATTCCAACTGAGTTTTCATAACCTGAGATCAGGCCAATTTTAGCGGTTCTCATACATCCTCTCTAACGGCCACAGGAATGTTATTTACAAAGCGAAAAGAAAATTGAGCCTGATCTCAGGTTAGGTTTTCATAACGGACCGATGTAGTCTGAGACCAGAAAGACATAGTTGGACTCGGTGGAACTATTAACAAAGGGGGAATGTCGCATTAAGCTGTTTATTGATTAACGTCTTGCTAGTAGAGGACACGGACCGAAGAAACTTATAAAATCATAAGATATAGTTAAACAAACATCTGTTCGTAAATTCTTCATATTTGCAGCATTGCGAGTTTTCACTGATGCTGAGCTTTTTAAGTCCCTGAATTTGGGGCCTGCAGCGTAGATTACAGGTTCTTTCCTGTAAAACTGATGGCAAGGTGTGTGAAAAAATAAATTAAAAACGGAAAATAAATAACAGTTGTTTGTCTTGTTCAGCAAACGCGTTGAACTCGTGTTAGAATGGATGTGACAAGGAAGACAGAGTCTTGCCTCAGTACTTCACAACCTTATCCCCACACGCGGGCTCGTTACCCGTAGACGGAAAATACATATAAAAATTTGATAACTAACCTGTTTGGTTACGACAGTTGATAAAGTTTTCGCTCTATGGAAAACGGAACGCATATCAAACATTAAATACCCTAGGTGACCTAGGGAGCTACCTACATGATGTCAATCTTTTGACAATCATTAAAGGATGAAGTAATGAAGTTTCTGATTGGTCAACAAGGGAAACATTAACAGCTTATAGAGTGCCAGAGGCTATACAATGCAGTGCCAGGCAGTACCGAAGCTTCTTTGGAAAAGCGAGGAAGTGTGAAATAGAAACGCATGCAAAATGGCTGACAACGGGACAAAATTATTGTTAACCATCAATTAAACTACTCGTGCAATAATTTTAACTTTTGAAACATCACTCGTGCCATAAATAAAGAAATGTACTCGAATTCATACGATTTTCTATACTTACTACATTTATGGTTAAAATGTTAGTACATTTATGGTTTATAATTTATTACATTTATGGTGGATATTACATTTATGGTTGAATTTTATTACATTTATGGTTAGTGTTACTGTTATGGTTGATTATTACATTTACGGGTGCTACAGCAAGCCAGCTGGGAGCTGGTGATTAAATTGGTTCTCAATATTCCCCGGCGGTGTATATGAAATAATGAATATTTAGCAATTATTGAATGAGACTGAGTAGAATGTGAAGAATAATGCAGATTGAGGAGGATGTTATCGACCGAGGTGGATAACATCNCATAACGGACCGATGTAGTCTGAGACCAGAAAGACATAGTTGGACTCGGTGGAACTATTAACAAAGGGGGAATGTCGCATTAAGCTGTTTATTGATTAACGTCTTGCTAGTAGAGGACACGGACCGAAGAAACTTATAAAATCATAAGATATAGTTAAACAAACATCTGTTCGTAAATTCTTCATATTTGCAGCATTGCGAGTTTTCACTGATGCTGAGCTTTTTAAGTCCCTGAATTTGGGGCCTGCAGCGTAGATTACAGGTTCTTTCCTGTAAAACTGATGGCAAGGTGTGTGAAAAAATAAATTAAAAACGGAAAATAAATAACAGTTGTTTGTCTTGTTCAGCAAACGCGTTGAACTCGTGTTAGAATGGATGTGACAAGGAAGACAGAGTCTTGCCTCAGTACTTCACAACCTTATCCCCACACGCGGGCTCGTTACCCGTAGACGGAAAATACATATAAAAATTTGATAACTAACCTGTTTGGTTACGACAGTTGATAAAGTTTTCGCTCTATGGAAAACGGAACGCATATCAAACATTAAATACCCTAGGTGACCTAGGGAGCTACCTACATGATGTCAATCTTTTGACAATCATTAAAGGATGAAGTAATGAAGTTTCTGATTGGTCAACAAGGGAAACATTAACAGCTTATAGAGTGCCAGAGGCTATACAATGCAGTGCCAGGCAGTACCGAAGCTTCTTTGGAAAAGCGAGGAAGTGTGAAATAGAAACGCATGCAAAATGGCTGACAACGGGACAAAATTATTGTTAACCATCAATTAAACTACTCGTGCAATAATTTTAACTTTTGAAACATCACTCGTGCCATAAATAAAGAAATGTACTCGAATTCATACGATTTTCTATACTTACTACATTTATGGTTAAAATGTTAGTACATTTATGGTTTATAATTTATTACATTTATGGTGGATATTACATTTATGGTTGAATTTTATTACATTTATGGTTAGTGTTACTGTTATGGTTGATTATTACATTTACGGGTGCTACAGCAAGCCAGCTGGGAGCTGGTGATTAAATTGGTTCTCAATATTCCCCGGCGGTGTATATGAAATAATGAATATTTAGCAATTATTGAATGAGACTGAGTAGAATGTGAAGAATAATGCAGATTGAGGAGGATGTTATCGACCGAGGTGGATAACATCCTCCAAGATCTGCATAATTCTTTTCATCTTACGAAAGCCGAATTCAATAATTGTTTTATTAGTCATTCAAAATATTTCTAAATTTGTTATAAACAAGCTTACCTTCTCGAAGACTTTCTTCAAAACTTTCGCCTGTTTCTCGGCATTGTTTCACGATAGACCATATGTTTTTCCTTGAAGATACTCCTCAAAAGTAAACAACATCCGATCCTTGTAGGGATATGTTTCGCGTATTCTTGCATTTCTTAACTTAACAATAACAATATTGTTCTTGTTGTTAACAATGACAATATTTGATCTTCGTGCACTATGATGTACGTAATTTTGTTTCTTAAAATAGCTTTTGCAATACTATATGAATTTATTGTCATGCAAATAAAGCTCGTTGTTGTTGTAAAAGCTTGTGGCTGAAATAGTTTTATTTTCCAGAATTTTTAACAGTACGGTGTATGGTGGTAAACAGTAGGTTACAAACTACTCTGTAAAACTATTTATTTAGATATTCTGCATTTGCAGATTCAACAAGTATAGAATAGGCTAAAGAAATGATAGTCCAACACTTATAATCCTGACCAACCTCAGTAAATCTTACATGAAAGCTTGATTATCTTGCCTAAGAAGTTTAACTGTTCAGTTAAAAAGGTGTTAAGAATCTTGTTTCCACTTTCTTACTCTTAAAAATATTTTTTTTCTCAAGGTTAAGAAAAAAGCGTCATGGACAACATCTTGGAGATTCTACAGACCATTCATATTGGTGCAGTCGTTGCAACTTTCCTTTTCAACACTGGACGTATTATAAAAGCAGTAGACATCTTTAACGAATGTTTGGTGCTCCTTAACGGTAAAGCCCTAGAGACAATCAAAGAACTTACCACACCACTTCTTATCTATGTATACCGTAAACTTCTTGATGGCTATACTTGTGTGTACGATCACACCCGTGCGATAGAATGTGGTAAAAAGCTTCTAGTGACACTACACAATAGTGACCAAAAACAAGTAGAAGGGATGACATTACTTAAACTAGCGAACATCTACTATCAAAGAAGCAAATACGAGAAAGCAAAACAGTTTTACGAGAAGGCACTCAGCATCATGATTGAGGCTGGAAATAATCGCGGAGTTGGAACATGTTACGGAAATCTAGGGACCGTGTTTCTTTCTGTTGGTCAATATACCAAGGCTGAAGAATACCTTCATAAAGCACTAGTGATCAGGAAAGAAATCGGTGACAAAGAAGGGGAAGCATCAGATTACGGAAATCTAGGAACTTTGTTTCATTATGTTGGTCAATATACAAGGGCAGAAGAGTACCTTCACAAAGCACTAGTGATCAGGAAAGAAAATGGTGACAAACAAGGAGAAGCATCTGATTACGGAAATCTAGGAACTGTGTTTAAATCTGTTGGTCAATATACGAAGGCAGAAGAGTACCTTCAGAAAGCACTAGTGATCAGGAAAGAAATCGGTGACAAAGAAGGGGAAGCATCAGATTACGGAAATCTAGGAACTTTGTTTCATTATGTTGGTCAATATACAAGGGCAGAAGAGTACCTTCACAAAGCACTAGTGATCAGGAAAGAAAATGGTGACAAACAAGGAGAAGCATCTGATTACGGAAATCTAGGAACTGTGTTTAAATCTGTTGGTCAATATACGAAGGCAGAAGAGTACCTTCAGAAAGCACTAGTGATCAGGAAAGAAATCGGTGACAAAGAAGGGGAAGCATCAGATTACGGAAATCTAGGAACTTTGTTTCATTATGTTGGTCAATATACAAGGGCAGAAGAGTACCTTCACAAAGCACTAGTGATCAGGAAAGAAAATGGTGACAAACAAGGAGAAGCATCTGATTACGGAAATCTAGGAACTGTGTTTAAATCTGTTGGTCAATATACGAAGGCAGAAGAGTACCTTCAGAAAGCACTAGTGATCAGGAAAGAAATCGGTGACAAAGAAGGAGAAGCATCAGATTACGGAAATCTAGGAATTGTGTTCCTTTCTGTTGGTCAATATACCAAGGCTGAAGAATACCTTCAAAAAGCAGTAGTGATCAGTAAAGAAATCGGTGACAAAGAAGGAGAAGCATCAAATTACGGAAATCTAGGAGCTGTGTTAAAATTTCTTGGTCAATATACCAAGGCTGAAGAATACTTGCAAAAAGCACTAGTGATCAGGAAAGAAATCGGTGACAAAACAGGAGAAGCATCTGCTTACGGATATCTAGGAACTGTGTTTAAATCTGTTGGTCAATATACCAAGGCTGAAGGATACCTTCAAAAAGCACTAGTCATTAGGAAAGAAATCGGCGACAAAGAAGGAGAAGCATCAGATTATGGAAATCTAGGAACTGTGTTTCTTTCTGTTGCTCAATATACCAAGGCTAAAGAATACCTTCAAAAAGCACTAGTGATCAGCAAAGAAGTCGGTGACAAGAAAGGAGAAGCATCAGATTACGGAAATCTAGGAACTGTATTTAGATTACTTGGTCAATATACCAAGGCTGAAGAATACCTTCAAAAAGCAATAGTGATCATGAAAGAAATCGGTGACAAAAGAGGAGAAGCATCTGCTTACGGAAATCTAGGAACTGTGTTTCAATCTGTTGGTCAATATACCAAGGCTGAAGAATACCTTCAAAACGCACTAGTGATCAAGGGAGAAATCGGTGACAAAGAAGGAGAAGCATCAGATTACGGAAATCTAGGAATTGTGTTCCTTTCTGTTGGTCAATATACCAAAGCAGAAGAGTACCTTCAGAAAGCACTAGTAATCACGAAAGAAATCGGTGACAAAAAAGGAGAAGCATCTGCTTACGGAAATCTAGGAACTGTGTTTAAATCTGTTGGTCAATATACCAAGGCTGAAGAATACCTTCAAATAGCGCTAGTGATCAGGAAGGAAATCGGTGACAAAGAAGGAGAAGCAGCAGTTTACGGAAATCTAGGAAGTGTGTTTCAAAATGTTGGTCAATATACCAAGGCTGAAGAATACCTTCAAAAAGCACTAGTGATCACGAAAGAAATCGGTGACAAAAAAGGAGAAGCAGCAGTTTACGGAAATCTAGGAACTGTGTTTAAATGTGTTGGTCAATATACCAAGGCTGAAGAATACCTTGAGAAAGCACTAGTGATCAGGAAAGAAATCGGTGACAAAGAAGGAGAAGCATCTGCTTACGGAAATCTAGGAACTGTGTTTAAATCTGTTGGTCAATATACCAAGGCTGAAGAATACCTTGAAAAAGCACTAGTGATCAGAAAAGAAATCGGTAACAAAAAAGGAGAAGCATCAAATTACGGAAATCTAGGAACTGTGTTTCAATCTGTTGGTCAAGATACCAAGGCTGAAGAGTACCTTCAGAAAGCACTGGTGATCAGTAAAGAAATCGGTGACAAACAAGGAGAAGCATCTGCTTACGGAAATCTAGGAACTGTGTTTAAATCTGTTGGTCAATATACCAAGGCTGAAGAATACCTTGAAAAAGCACTAGTGATCAGAAAAGAAATCGGTAACAAAAAAGGAGAAGCATCAAATTACGGAAATCTAGGAACTGTGTTTCAATCTGTTGGTCAAGATACCAAGGCTGAAGAGTACCTTCAGAAAGCACTGGTGATCAGTAAAGAAATCGGTGACAAACAAGGAGAAGCATCTGCTTACGGAAATCTAGGAACTGTGTTTAAATCTGTTGGTCAATATACCAAGGCTGAAGAATACCTTGAAAAAGCACTAGTGATCAGAAAAGAAATCGGTAACAAAAAAGGAGAAGCATCAAATTACGGAAATCTAGGAACTGTGTTTCAATCTGTTGGTCAAGATACCAAGGCTGAAGAGTACCTTCAGAAAGCACTGGTGATCAGTAAAGAAATCGGTGACAAACAAGGAGAAGCATCTGCTTACGGAAATCTAGGAACTGTGTTTCTTTCTGTTGGCCATTTTACCAAGGCTGAAGAATACTTGCAAAAAGCACTAGTGATCAGGAAAGAAATCGGTGATAAAGAAGGAGAAGCATCAGATTACATAAATCTAGGAACTGTGTTTAATTTTTATGGTCAATATACCAAGGCTGAAGAATACCTTCAAAAAGCACTAGTGATCACGAAAGAAATCGGTGACAAAAGAGGAGAAGCATCTGCTTACGGAAATCTAGGAACTGTGTTTCAATCTGTTGGTCAATATACCAAGGCTGAAGAATACCTTGAAAAAGCACTAGTGATCAGGAAAGAAATCGGTGACAAACACGGAGAAGCATTAGGTTACGGAAATCTAGGAACTGTGTTTCAATCTGTTGGTCAATATACCAAGGCTGAAGAATACATTCAAAAAGCACTAGTGATCAGGAAAGAAATCGGTGATAAAGAAGGAGAAGCATCTGCTTACAGAAATCTAGGAAATGTGTTTCAATCTGTTGGTCAATATACCAAGGCTGAAGAATACCTTCAAAAAGCACTAGTGATCAGGAAGGAAATCGGTGACAAAGAAGGAGAAGCATCAGATTACGGAAATCTAGGAAGTGTGTTTAAATCTTTTGGTCACTATACCAAGGCTGAAGAATACCTTGAAAAAGCACTAGTGATCAGGAAAGAAATCGGTGACAAACACGGAGAAGCATCTGCTTACAGAAATCTAGGAACTGTGTTTCAATCTGTTGGTCAATATACCAAGGCTGAAGAATACCTTCAAAAAGCACTAGTGATCGGGAAAGAAATCGGTGACAAACAAGGAGAAGCATCTGCTTACGGAAAGCTAGGAGCTGTCTTTGTTTCGTTTGGTCAATATACCACGGCAGAAGAATACCTTCAAAAAGCACTTGTGATCAATCAAGAAATCGGAGACAAAGCTGGTGTTGGAGTTTCATACTTAAATTTGGCAAACCTTTGTCGAGAATTTCAACTTACTGCAAAGTGTCAAGAATTTGCTAATAAAGCACTTGAGATAAGTTACGAAATAGGGGACATTGAAATGCAGTTTGAAAGCCACCTTTCCATTGCTGTGAACGAGTTAGTGACAGGAGGAAGCGTAACTGAACTTCTGCGAAATCTGCTTGAAAGCATTCAGAAGTGCGAGGAAATGCATGATTTTTTAAGAGCGAAAGATCAATTCAAAATTTCATTTTTTGATGAGCATGTGTCCCCTTACCTTCTTCTTTGTACGTTGTTAATTGCTGGAAGCAGTTATTATGAAGCTCTTTACGTTGCCGAGCTTGGACGATCCAGAGCACTGACAGACGTACTTTCAGATAATTACTCTGTGGAAAAAGGGATATCAGTCAACCCACAGTCATAGATTGGTATTGAGAACATCATGAACAAAAATGCACTTAGTTTTTGTCTTTATGTTTCCTGCTTCAATGATAATATGTTCTTTTGGATCCTCAAGCCAAACAAAACTATAGTTTTTCGACGAACGAGACTCAAAGAAAGTGCAGATAAAGTGTTTGGAAATCAGACATTTGGTGGCTCTCTTGATTTACGTCAAGACCAATGCGAAGATCGATCATTATTTTCATGTGTAAGTTCCCCTCTATCATGCAAACAATCTCATAGTGACAGCTTCGAATCTTTGCGTCTTATCGAAGAAGAGGAAGACGAAAATCACGACTCTAAACCTTTAACCCTTGCTGATGGTTACAACATGATAGTCGCTCCTGTAGCTGACTTACTCCAAGAATCAGAAATCATTATTATACCGGATAACTTGTTGTATCCTATTCCTTTTGCTGCTTTAAAGGATGGTAATGGAAAGTATTTATCGGATACTTTCAGGATTCGCATTGTCCCTTCCTTGACGACTCTTAAGTTGATTCAGCTCAGTCCAGCAGACTACCATAGTAAAACCGGTGCACTGATCGTAGGGGAGCCAGAAGTTAGTGATGTATACTATCGACGAAAAATTCTACAGTTAAACTCACTGCCTTGGGCGAGAAAGGAAGCAGAGATGATTGGGCGACTGCTCGGTGTTCAACCATTGCTTGGAAAGGATGCAACTAAGCAGGCAGTCCTGGAAAGCATGCGTTCAGTAAGTCTCATTCACTTCGCTGCTCATGGTTATGCCGAACGTGGAGAAATAGCTCTTTCCCCTATAAGCTCCCGCGGAACTCCACACGAAGAAGACTACTTATTAACGATGGCTGAAATTTCACAAGTTCGACTAACAGCCAAGCTGGTTGTCCTTAGCTGCTGTCATAGTGCAAGTGGTCAGATTAGAGCTGAGGGAGTTGTTGGAATCGCTCGAGCATTTCTAGCATCGGGTGCACGCGCCGTGCTGGCAGCGCTGTGGGCTGTAGAGGACGAAGCTACCATGTGGTTTATGAATCGTTTTTACGAGCACCTTGTTCGTGGTGAAAGTGCCAGTGAATCTCTTCATCAGGCCATGAAGTCGATGAGAGAGACTGGCTTTTCTGACATCATGCAGTGGGCACCCTTTATGCTGATTGGAGATAATGTGACATTGAAAGGTTTGTATTTGATATCATTTTTAGGTTTTTTAGTTATCTTAGTTCAAATTTGTGAAATTGATGTTCGTGACGCTACACATCATTTTGAAAAATATCATTAAGGAAGTTATACTGAGTTTTCTTAGTTTTTTTTTATTTATTGTCTATTCCAACCCTGTTCATGGAAGTGAGGCAACTGGAGAGAATGCCGAATTTAATTATTTTCCGATTTTTAAGGAATATTTCGTAAAGCATACTCGAATCTCTAATTAACTAACATGAAAATGTAAAAAAACGATATTTGAGATTACAAAGAGCAGACGAAAACAATTTATTTATATACCATACGATTCCAAAAATAAGCCCTGGGGCTTATATTTTACGAAGGTCCTTTTTGAAGGGCCTATTTTTGGAGGGGCTTATATTCGGAGGGGCTTATCTACGGAGGGAAATGTGCGTTTCAAAATCGATTGGGCTAGCCTTATAGTTGGAAGTAAATTAATCTTTTTGTTTTGTTTTACTTTGTATTTGAGGGCAATTTTCCAAAGACAAGCCCTGGGGTGGAAGGGAGGGGGAGGGGGGGGGGCTTATATTTGGAAGGGCGATTTAACGGAGGGTTTTTTGCGTTACCGGTTTGGGGGGCTTATTTTTGGAGGGGCGTATACATGGAGGGGCTTATTTTCGGAATTTTACGGTATCACAGAGAAGAGAAGTAAGTGTTAAACACACTTTTTCTTGAGGGTGTACATGATAAAAGAAAAAATGTAGCCTGTTCCAGGCTACATTTCAGGCTCCGCACGCCTTTCACCGCTTCATCCCTACTATCTGAGAGCCTGGAACAGGCTAAAAAAAACGCTGTTAGTATTTTTAGTCTTAAAAAGATTCATCCTCAGGGAACCAGAGATAGCGCAGAGGGTATACGTATTAATTACCGGTGGGCGAGAGTTTGAAACCAAACGGGAAGATTACCTGGGCACTTAATCTAACCCAAGCAGGTGGAGAAGTATTTGATTTTGCAACTTTTATTTTATGCAGGTATTTTTCTGGCAAATGAGCTAAGGCCAACTCCCTTGTCGATTTCGTGTGTTGTTAAAAGGAGGTTTTTTGTCATCAATCGCCTCTTTTATGATGCTTGTTCCGCTGAGAAGTCGAAAGATTTAATATGCCCCCAAGAAAGTATTCAATTCGATTCGATTGGGTTTTACAAAACGTTTTGCTTTAGTTCTCTTCGTAGTCGCGATTTTGTACCAGAGGAGATGGCTGATATTCTGGGCAACCATTGCACAGGCTTCTCGGGCTGCTCGGGCTGCAAGGGATAGCATGGTTGGCTTGATATCAATCTCCTGCTTCAAGCTATAATCTAATCAGTACACAAACAGCAAACGAATCCAAGGAATTTGAAATAATGTAAAATATTCTCACTGCATACATAATTGGCCGGTGACGCGGGAATTAAGTAACTCTTTTAAATTCCGTGGTGTTGGGCCTGCGGGCTCGTGGCATGATGCATTGCGGCCCTTGGTTAGAATTGCTTAGTTTTTGCCCGCCTCTTGGCTAGTTCAACGGGGTTCAGTGGAAGTGACTTAGAAGTTTCGCCCCTCTTACATCCCCTGGTGGCGCTTGACGTCGCTTACTCTCATTATTCGGCATGCCTATTGTCCTGGCAGTCGCGGTTGCCTCCCACAATTTAGTTCTCCGTGTCGGAACAATAGGTGTGCGGTGCGAATATTATACGTATCACATTTAAGCTGAAAGTGATACAATATGACTTTACTGAATTTTTAGCATAGAAATGATTCCTCAAAATGTAAAGGTTTTGTTACTTGTTTGCCTTTAAAAAAATCTGTGCCAGATATTTAGGTGAAACATTTAGCGCAACGAGCAACAGAAACATGTTGATCGATGGTTAAAATAAATCGTGCAAAGAATACATACGAAAAGGAACCCTCATGATTAGTTTCTTTTTATTTGCATCGCAGGTGCATTTGATAAGAGCAGTTTGAAAGATGGCGAAGGTGCAACGGAAACAAAGAACTTGTAAACTGAGAGGAAACAAATGTTCAAGTTGACAACTACTGTCACAGGTGTACATAAATGTATATAGCTAGGATCTCAATGAAGCAGTCTTGTCTGAGACCGCAAAGTGAACAGGTGATAATTGTACTTTTTAAAGCAGGCGCCATTTTAATACGTTACGGGAGAAGGTGAAGCATGAGCTGAGCGTGGAGCACAAGGAGAAGGGATAGCCAGGACCAGTTAGTCGTCCTCATAGTGGAGACGTCAAAGTTGTATAGACCTTCTGAACCTACGTCTACTATATTAGTCAGGGCTTCTTTCGTTCTACGTGACTTCTGCTACTCTCGTCAAGGCCTGCCCTTCAATTCACGCTTGCTTCAAATAAGCTCAATTACTTACATGTCTTACATCAACACGAGTAATGACTTTGGTTTGATAAACTTTGTAAATGTACTGATCTTGACAAACGTGATGAAATGCCAAATAGATATCTAAGTTATAATATGTCTTTACTCAGTTAGTTCCTTCACACCATCAATGGTCAAAGGCCTTGGTAGGGGAAAACAGGCGGACGTTGTTTTCCTGAACTTTGCAAAGGCTTTTGACAGAGTGGCACATAATATCCTGCCGCAAAAATGTGTAATTTTGGAATCTCCGGTGCGCTTTGAATTAGTGTAAGGATTATCTCACCGACCGAGAACAGAGAGTTGTCATAGAAGTAATAAATTGTACATGGTGTGCTATTCCATCGGGCGTACCTCAGGGCTCCTTATTGGGCCCTTTGGTCTTCGTAATTTTCATTGGTGATTTGCCTGAAGTAGTAATGTCTGGAAACTGTGTGTCATTATATGCTGACGACTGCAAAACATCCAGGATTATAAACTGTCCAGCTGATCATTCCGTATTTCAGTCAGGGCCTAGTTTTTCGAACGCCGGTTAGCGCTAACCCGGGGTTTAATTTTAACCCAGGTTTCTTTTTCTTTTTATCAAAAGCACACTATCGGATAATTTTCTCTATTCTTTTTAGAGTATCCAGTCATCAAATTGTAGGCAAAGAGAAGAATTAAACTGAATTTGCTTTTTAAGCTCTCATATCCGATTTCAAATTTCGCACTAACCGTGGGTTACCTTAACCCAGTTTCGAACAACCCGGCCCAGATCTCGACAGTTTATATGCATGGAATCAACAAAACCTTAGGGAGTTTAACGTGAAGAAATGTAAACTAATTCAATCTACAATCTGTCTTGGAGCACTCATATTGATAAAATATTGAATAAGGCCAACAAGATCCTAGGTCTAAGGGACCTGTAAAGGATTTCAAGATGTTTCCACATTGAGAACTCTGTATCTTGCCCTGGTCAGATCACAGCTAGAGTATTGCAGTGTTGTGTGGTCACCACACATACGAGCACCTTGTTCGTGGTGAAAGTGCCAGTGAATCTCTTCATCAGGCCATGAAGTCGATGAGAGAGACTGGCTTTTCTGACATCATGCAGTGGGCACCCTTTATGCTGATTGGAGATAATGTGACATTGAAAGGTTTGTATTTGATATCATTTTTAGGTTTTTTAGTTATCTTAGTTCAAATTTGTGAAATTGATGTTCGTGACGCTACACATCATTTTGAAAAATATCATTAAGGAAGTTATACTGAGTTTTCTTAGTTTTTTTTTATTTATTGTCTATTCCAACCCTGTTCATGGAAGTGAGGCAACTGGAGAGAATGCCGAATTTAATTATTTTCCGATTTTTAAGGAATATTTCGTAAAGCATACTCGAATCTCTAATTAACTAACATGAAAATGTAAAAAAACGATATTTGAGATTACAAAGAGCAGACGAAAACAATTTATTTATATACCATACGATTCCAAAAATAAGCCCTGGGGCTTATATTTTACGAAGGTCCTTTTTGAAGGGCCTATTTTTGGAGGGGCTTATATTCGGAGGGGCTTATCTACGGAGGGAAATGTGCGTTTCAAAATCGATTGGGCTAGCCTTATAGTTGGAAGTAAATTAATCTTTTTGTTTTGTTTTACTTTGTATTTGAGGGCAATTTTCCAAAGACAAGCCCTGGGGTGGAAGGGAGGGGGAGGGGGGGGGGCTTATATTTGGAAGGGCGATTTAACGGAGGGTTTTTTGCGTTACCGGTTTGGGGGGCTTATTTTTGGAGGGGCGTATACATGGAGGGGCTTATTTTCGGAATTTTACGGTATCACAGAGAAGAGAAGTAAGTGTTAAACACACTTTTTCTTGAGGGTGTACATGATAAAAGAAAAAATGTAGCCTGTTCCAGGCTACATTTCAGGCTCCGCACGCCTTTCACCGCTTCATCCCTACTATCTGAGAGCCTGGAACAGGCTAAAAAAAACGCTGTTAGTATTTTTAGTCTTAAAAAGATTCATCCTCAGGGAACCAGAGATAGCGCAGAGGGTATACGTATTAATTACCGGTGGGCGAGAGTTTGAAACCAAACGGGAAGATTACCTGGGCACTTAATCTAACCCAAGCAGGTGGAGAAGTATTTGATTTTGCAACTTTTATTTTATGCAGGTATTTTTCTGGCAAATGAGCTAAGGCCAACTCCCTTGTCGATTTCGTGTGTTGTTAAAAGGAGGTTTTTTGTCATCAATCGCCTCTTTTATGATGCTTGTTCCGCTGAGAAGTCGAAAGATTTAATATGCCCCCAAGAAAGTATTCAATTCGATTCGATTGGGTTTTACAAAACGTTTTGCTTTAGTTCTCTTCGTAGTCGCGATTTTGTACCAGAGGAGATGGCTGATATTCTGGGCAACCATTGCACAGGCTTCTCGGGCTGCTCGGGCTGCAAGGGATAGCATGGTTGGCTTGATATCAATCTCCTGCTTCAAGCTATAATCTAATCAGTACACAAACAGCAAACGAATCCAAGGAATTTGAAATAATGTAAAATATTCTCACTGCATACATAATTGGCCGGTGACGCGGGAATTAAGTAACTCTTTTAAATTCCGTGGTGTTGGGCCTGCGGGCTCGTGGCATGATGCATTGCGGCCCTTGGTTAGAATTGCTTAGTTTTTGCCCGCCTCTTGGCTAGTTCAACGGGGTTCAGTGGAAGTGACTTAGAAGTTTCGCCCCTCTTACATCCCCTGGTGGCGCTTGACGTCGCTTACTCTCATTATTCGGCATGCCTATTGTCCTGGCAGTCGCGGTTGCCTCCCACAATTTAGTTCTCCGTGTCGGAACAATAGGTGTGCGGTGCGAATATTATACGTATCACATTTAAGCTGAAAGTGATACAATATGACTTTACTGAATTTTTAGCATAGAAATGATTCCTCAAAATGTAAAGGTTTTGTTACTTGTTTGCCTTTAAAAAAATCTGTGCCAGATATTTAGGTGAAACATTTAGCGCAACGAGCAACAGAAACATGTTGATCGATGGTTAAAATAAATCGTGCAAAGAATACATACGAAAAGGAACCCTCATGATTAGTTTCTTTTTATTTGCATCGCAGGTGCATTTGATAAGAGCAGTTTGAAAGATGGCGAAGGTGCAACGGAAACAAAGAACTTGTAAACTGAGAGGAAACAAATGTTCAAGTTGACAACTACTGTCACAGGTGTACATAAATGTATATAGCTAGGATCTCAATGAAGCAGTCTTGTCTGAGACCGCAAAGTGAACAGGTGATAATTGTACTTTTTAAAGCAGGCGCCATTTTAATACGTTACGGGAGAAGGTGAAGCATGAGCTGAGCGTGGAGCACAAGGAGAAGGGATAGCCAGGACCAGTTAGTCGTCCTCATAGTGGAGACGTCAAAGTTGTATAGACCTTCTGAACCTACGTCTACTATATTAGTCAGGGCTTCTTTCGTTCTACGTGACTTCTGCTACTCTCGTCAAGGCCTGCCCTTCAATTCACGCTTGCTTCAAATAAGCTCAATTACTTACATGTCTTACATCAACACGAGTAATGACTTTGGTTTGATAAACTTTGTAAATGTACTGATCTTGACAAACGTGATGAAATGCCAAATAGATATCTAAGTTATAATATGTCTTTACTCAGTTAGTTCCTTCACACCATCAATGGTCAAAGGCCTTGGTAGGGGAAAACAGGCGGACGTTGTTTTCCTGAACTTTGCAAAGGCTTTTGACAGAGTGGCACATAATATCCTGCCGCAAAAATGTGTAATTTTGGAATCTCCGGTGCGCTTTGAATTAGTGTAAGGATTATCTCACCGACCGAGAACAGAGAGTTGTCATAGAAGTAATAAATTGTACATGGTGTGCTATTCCATCGGGCGTACCTCAGGGCTCCTTATTGGGCCCTTTGGTCTTCGTAATTTTCATTGGTGATTTGCCTGAAGTAGTAATGTCTGGAAACTGTGTGTCATTATATGCTGACGACTGCAAAACATCCAGGATTATAAACTGTCCAGCTGATCATTCCGTATTTCAGTCAGGGCCTAGTTTTTCGAACGCCGGTTAGCGCTAACCCGGGGTTTAATTTTAACCCAGGTTTCTTTTTCTTTTTATCAAAAGCACACTATCGGATAATTTTCTCTATTCTTTTTAGAGTATCCAGTCATCAAATTGTAGGCAAAGAGAAGAATTAAACTGAATTTGCTTTTTAAGCTCTCATATCCGATTTCAAATTTCGCACTAACCGTGGGTTACCTTAACCCAGTTTCGAACAACCCGGCCCAGATCTCGACAGTTTATATGCATGGAATCAACAAAACCTTAGGGAGTTTAACGTGAAGAAATGTAAACTAATTCAATCTACAATCTGTCTTGGAGCACTCATATTGATAAAATATTGAATAAGGCCAACAAGATCCTAGGTCTAAGGGACCTGTAAAGGATTTCAAGATGTTTCCACATTGAGAACTCTGTATCTTGCCCTGGTCAGATCACAGCTAGAGTATTGCAGTGTTGTGTGGTCACCACACACATCTAGAAATATTTCTAAGTTGGAGCGAATTCAGCGAAGGGCAACTATAGATAAGTTTATTTTGAAGACCATGATGATTACAAAC